CCCCCCCCCAACTTGGGGATTATGTATAGGTTATTTTCACAAACAACCTCGGAATAATATTGTGATGTATTTTAAAATAACATCTTGGCAAATATTACTACACTATGCGAATACTGTGATAAAAAATTTTACCTATTGTTCCTACAAGGGCAATACCCTTTATATTAATACATGCAAAACTTTAAAAATTTCATGTTGATATTTCTGGCTGCTTGTTAAAATACTACAACTACACTAAACTACACTAGTGATCCACCTGTATATTTTCTATTTGCCAAAATAAGATTAACAAAATTAAAAATTGTGGTGCCCATGTTCAACTTTTCTCAGACAAAATATTACAATTATGATTGGTGGTATGTGATGAACTGATACCGCCATTGCACCACACACAACCAACGTTAACTAGTGAAATTTATATAAATGCAACCTATTTAAATAATTGTTTTCTATCTATTATCTCTAGCCCAATTGTGAATGGCCCAATTTAAACTTGTGCTAGTGCTGTTCTTGTATGCTTCATCAAAACACTTCCGAAATTTCAGCAAAGCAGCTTTTTCCGCTTCTTCTGCATTCATTTGTCCACTGTTCAAACCAAGAGTTTTCTTAAGATATTCGATATCTTTGACTGAACGAAGTTCTGGAAGACCTAAGTATTATTAAATATTGAAAGTAATAATTATTAGATAATCAAATCTTTGCTTGGTTAAGTATGGTATAATTTTTAAAGTAATAAAGTCAAACCTGTTGAAAGCATCATAGTGAAGAGGTTGATAAACAAATAATTATGTTTTCGTAAGATTAAGTAAGCTCTTTCACAGATCTCCCTGAATCTAAAAATTAACACAAATTTGTTCAGACAAAGTTATTGCGTTCTTTTTCTTGTTATCTACCTATCCCATTATTATCTTTATCTCTATCCGAACCAACCTTAAAAATTCAGAACATTTGTCAGACTTTTGTCCATTGGTTATGACATATACAAAATCTCGTGAGAGGATAAATGGCACTCGTTCTCGATTCACACCAAACTTCACCTTAAAGTTTCCGAGAAAATGTCCAAAGTCGATATGGACAAGCTAGAAAAGTAAAAATATTGGTAATACATGTTACTATTCGAAAAAAACGACGATCAGAAATCACTTTATAGTTGCTTTAAATGTGTTTCTTACAAAGAAATAATTTTTTTTAACGACAGAAAGTACAGGCATGAAGTTATGCATAGGTAATATGAGCTTCATTTTCGAAGTCTACGAATTTTCAATTTTATGGTGGGTTTTACACAATATTCTTGTACCTGTCCAGTTTCTTTCACCATAATGTTATCACTATGGCGATCACCAACACCCAACACGTACGTTGCTACACAGTACCCAGCACAAGACATGGTGAAAGCCTCTATAGCCCGTTTCAACCTAAAAATGTGAAAACGAACTTTCACACTCGCTGTTTTTACTTATACCCGAAAATTGAACAGCTTAGTGTAACTTCGGTAGAAATGTTTGAAATTTTTACATGTTGCAAATATTATACAAGTCTCGAGAAGAATTACAAAATAACATGAATTACAAAAGTTACATCTCATCAGTGCGATTTTTGCTCTTCAGCCAACCCAGTAGAACTTCCTTCTTGAATGCACCTCGGACAACTCCACCTTCTGATTTCTGAATATTGGCTAAGGTGGATGCCCTTGTAACCACTTCAATGACACCAATTTTGTCACCCGTAGGTAAAACAGAATATGGAGTCATTCTAAAGGAAAAAATATAAATAGTTTTCTTTCTGAAACCTCCACCATATTTATGAAAATTGAGAAAATTCCTCTATTTGCTGAATTGCTATTACTATACTTACTGCAGATTAAGACCCTCTCTCTGCCATAAAGTATCCATGATCTTAAATATTTGTACAGTAAGCATGTCTTGACGAAGATCTGAAATAAAATTTCGTATTTAATTATTAGGGTATTAGCAAAGCATCATTCGCTTGTAGAAAGCACTAGCATACTGTCACTCTTCTAAGAAAAGATAAAAAGGCCCAGAAACTCACCGTCACCATTCTTGAAAATCAGGGTTGTAGGAGCACCCATCTCGTCGTCATTTTCGTAGACCATCCAAAGTGGTCTCATCTTAGAATCCATCACATTACATCCGTCTACCCTGAATATAAATAACAAAAAATTCTCGCATCCACAGGTAGCTAAAAAACATGACATATAATATGTAACTGTTTTAAAAATATTTTTAGTATCTACATTTCTTTGCTTAGTATACCTATGTTAGTTGACTTGTTAGTTGTGCTTATTGCCCCGCAGGGTTTTGACCCCAGAGGGCCACGCACGTAATATAATATAGGTAATACCCACCAATGCTTTGCGGGCACACTGGGTAATATTGGGGGTATTGAAGTTCCCGCACGTAATATGATTAAATTGTTTAAGGTCAAGCATAAATTGTTAAAGCTATCAAGATTAGAAGCAATTAGTTTATATTTTACAGTAAAAGGCCACAAGTTTAAAAGGTGAGGGTTCAAATTTTATTACAAAAGGCAAGTGAATTATTGGCGTAGTGCCGTAGCTGCGCAAGTTTAAAAGGTGAGGGTTCAAAGGTTGCGTTGGTTTCTGTAAGAATTATTATTCACTTGGGTCAACACCTTGTCAAACGGCATTGTATTTCTGTGGTCTGTTTTACGTGTCTATTAATTTATAATAGACTTGTGAGGTACGTTGTTACTATCATTTGTTGTTGGTGAAGGAGTCAATCCGTCAAATAACGAAAAGCTTTAAAGGTTAAACAGTAACACAAGATTAAAAACTCCGTCTATCAAGATTCTATCAAGTATCAACTATACGATTTTTCAGAGTTCAGACACATTAATCAAAACAGGAACCAAAAGACTTGGTTCACACATCAGTCAAAAACAAATACAAATATAAAAAATCGAGCAAAGCTTAACAACGGTCACATTATAAAACGTTTGTAACAAGGAACTCATAGTCATTGTTCCATTATATTGAAAAGCGCCATTCCCAGGGTTCATAGCGGTCTTTGAAATCCTTAAAAGTCTTTAAATTTGAATGCAGGTCTTTAAGGTCTTTGAAAAGTCTTTGAAGTGTGTGAAAAAGCGAAGAAAGTCTTTAAAAGTCTTTAAATTCTTTAGTGATTACTTGATTATACGATTTCCTAGCTAATAAAAGAGATTGATTGAAGCAAGATTTTCGCAAATATCGACGAAAAAGTGCATTTTAGGATGTGATTTTACGGGACTAATTACCTGGTAAAAATGGTGCTTATACATCGCAATTTTTCGACAGCTGATTGCTCTCAAAGGTCTTTGAAAAGTCTTTGACAACAGGCAGAAAAAATCTTTGATGAAAGTGTTTGAAATTTTTTGGTCTTGGAGACTACGAACCCTGATTCCTTCAGCCGGATAGACGCACAAGGATCAAGTTACACGTGGTTACTGTTTCACTTTTAAAGTTCTCCAATTTTATCAATCTTCTAAGCGTTTTAAAAAAAAGCCAGAAAGTAGTAATAACATTTTGTCGTATTAATATTTGTAAATTACCATAAGGCATGATCATTTTTAATAACAGCTATAATCAGCCGGGGGGCAGTTTTAGTGTAAACTATTTCTAGTAGATATTTATTACCTGAGGCTTTTTAACTTGCAGGTTGGATCCACAACAGAATGAAAGTCAGAGAAAGCCTCTCGAAAAGTGACTTGTTGCAGACATTCCTTCATAGTCTCGATACACTTGTCCCTCTATTTCGACAATGAAGAGATATTATTTAATTACAGTATACCTATTTCCCTAGTTAAGTTTGAAATAAATAGTAAGTACATTACATCAGTCCTTTTTAGAGCGTGGCATTGTAATAATTCTGTAATGGCCTTCAGTTTATTCATTGCTTCAACCTAATAAAACCCAAAGGAAACTTCTTTTGAATGAAAGATGTACAACAACTTTGCTGACATTGCTTTTTCTGGCTGGTTTGGATGGTTAAAAACCTAATTGTAGAAGGCTAGATGGTGATCAATAGCATACCTGTTTAGATAATGAAGCCATATGTGCAACACAACCTCGGCAATATGCTTCGAGTAGTAAACCAAATCGAACTGAAACTTCTGGAACATGCATTTCAGCCCTTCAACAAAAAATACCACATAACCTACTGTAATTGGCTAATAATACAGTCACATATAATGGTTTCTAAGACTATAGCTTTTTCCTCTATAATTATTGACAGCTTCATTCCTTCAGGGCAATTTAAATTGCTAGCCATTTCAGCACTCCTCGTATGTTTGTAGTGTGCATTTCCATCTTTCAAATTCACTTAACATTCATTCATTCATTCATTCGTTCTGGTCAGGGGAAATCTTTCTCTTATGTCTTCTTGGTTTAACTGGATATACTGTATTACATCACTCTACACTTATACTAATAATTCATGAGGAAAACACAAAAGAAATCATGAGCGTGAAGGAGTTTGTAGATCTGATACAAAATCATGCTGATTTACAAAGACTTTAAGTTCAATTTTCTCACCAAATATCATTAATTTATTTTAAATTGTTGAAGAATACGAATGTTCTCATCAAGACGTACGTTCGACAAGCCATTTACAACATTTACGTCTGTGTTGACACAATGGCGCCGTATTTACATGAAGCTTAAAAGCTTCAGCCTTGAAAAGCTTACCTCAGCAACCAGAACAGGGAGTGGCCAATTTTCCTATTCCACAAAGCTCGTCTTAGAAGAAATTTGGCCAAATGGCAATCCAAGTATGCCTCATACTTTAATACCTTTTAAAAGAATAGAAACATGATGGAATGAATACTTATTGCAATGAAATAATACTATTTTCTTGGCAAATCCGGTATTAATATGTACAATACGACACTATGTCCCATAATGATACCATAATCATGACATATTTCGCTAATTCAAGAGTTGCTTGAAATAGAGGTATTTCAGTCATATTGGTTGGAGCTTTGGGAACGTACAGTTGTATTTAAAACTACATACTTGAACTAACTGAAGTAAGTACATATGAAGTTGGCCATCGCTAAAAAAACAAAAATAGTTTTAATTAATAATTGACAACCGCATTTACATGAAAACCAAGCAAAACATACAATAAAAACAAAAGTATTTGTGTAAAAATACTCAGTGGTTCCCGTACTTTTTAGGAACACTATTCTAGTACCACTATGTACTGTAAGAATACAAATTAATGGTTAAATATAGTTATTCTTAATTCTATGAAAATGAAAGTACAGTGGTAATTTCTCTACAAATATTCGAGATATAAGACAAAAACTCACGAGAAATTTTCCAGGCATTGTACAGCATAATCTCTAACTTCCTTCTCGGGATATTTGTAATCAAGCAACTCCAATGCTTGTTCTGGAGCAATACGCGGCCAGCACTGAAGTAATGCATGCATCTGAAATGTTATAAAGTTGTGTTGAGTGAATATAGTGAGTGTATTGCCGGTAAGTTGGAGTGAATATTCATATATGTCATTACATCCACAGAAAGAAAGAAAGCTAAACAAGACTTGGTACAGAATGAATTGGAAGTAAAATAAGTGATGTCTGGAGGAAATAATGCAAGAGGAATGAATGATGCGAAAATGGATAAATAATTTGATAAATGGGTGAATGAAATTGAGGATAAAATAAAAAGATAGGGGAAAGAAATATACAGTAGTAAATACTGGGTTAAGTGAAATATAAATACAGTAGCAGGGAGCCTCTAGATCTCTGTAGAAATTTCTCATGAAGTGTTACAGGTATGGTATGCTTTGGAGGTGTGTCATTTTCTTTTGGTTGATTAATGCAGTGAGGTCCATGACAATAGCCTTTTTCACATTAGAAGACGGACAAGTCATCTAGACGAACAAATCGTCTCAAAATTGTCTTTTAGTCGGACAAATTATCAGATGTGAAAACGTGTCGGACAAAATTTTAGACGAACAAGTCGTCTGAATTTGTTCGACTACTTGTCTGTCTGTGAAGACGATTTTTGAGAGACGATTTGTTCGTCTAGACGACTTGTCCGTCTCTAATGTGAATAGGGCTAATGGAAATAAAAAGAGAAAGAGAAGGAAATCATATGGAAAGGAAGGAAAGGAAAAACTTAAAAGGGAACGATAATAGTATTGTAAAATAATCATACTCTTGCAACATCTTCATGATTATTCCACTGGATACTTAGCAAGACTTTTGGCAGTGAATTTGGAAAATTATCACGGCATTCAAACCTGAAATTAAAGTTCAACAAAACTTTACAGAACTGTTTGAGATTTGCCCTAGGACACATCTCAAATATGGGTCAAAGTATTACAACACAAGAGCTCGTCAATGTTGTGAATAAAGTTGCCTGTTATTTTATTTATTTTACAGATTTTGCCATTTAACACAAACTATTACACAAAATTAGTTAGACAATAGATTACATGGCTGGAATTACCACACAGAGATTAGTTCTCCAATAACGGGGTTCCAAGACATTCGAAATACACAGTATGAACAATAACATGCTTGCAGACAGACAGACAAACAAACAAACAGACAGACAGATGTGAAGATCAAAAACAAGCACAACAAATTACAATTTATGTGACAGTAAATTTAACAACATGCTCGATTCGACAGGTTAGTCAATGGGCGAATTGTGTGACACTTCACACAAACAGACTTAAATGTTCTCGGATCCTCAGGATTATAAATTTCCTTGGTGAGATCCTTATAATGTTGCATTAAACAAAATTTGAGGGAGACTACGGTTTTGTTGGTTTCTCTGATCAAACAGGGGAGTGTATTCCACCTTGGCAACTCTGACACGGTACCTGAAAAACCATATCTTCTTCTTCTCATGTTCAGTATACTCAGCTAGGGGTTCACGTTGAGTTAGCAATTGCAAATCAATGTTTGTTTTCTCACCACCTCTCTACAGGGAGTATGACAAAATGATCACAATAGTTAAATATGTGTGTTTTGATGTCAGTTTTATGGATAATGTAGTAAACTGAGTGCAAAGGCATGATACTTACAAAAATGTCTTTCTGCTCATTTCCTGCCAAAGTGGATGCTTTTTCTAAAACCTACAAAACATAAAGCACTTTTGTTTTAATTTTCTTTGTCCACTTAACCGGTGTAAATATCCAACAAAATAGTTGTCTTGTCTGATATAGAATTATCTTTCTTCTTCAGTTGTATAGAAATTTCTTCTTCAGTTGTATAGCAATTTCTGACCTTAAAAATTTAGCCCCCCATGTGCTGGGTTGTTAAATTTATATACTCTTCAACTCACCTTATCAAATGGTGGATAAACAACACTGGTGCCAGGCTTGGCATACTGTGAGAACTCAATTATCAAACATGCCGAGGTGCTGGTATTGATATTTGACACAACTGTACCAATCGGATTGAGGTCTTGAAGGTTATCTTTCACTGGCCAGGCATGGAGTATTATTTGGCCTTGCCGTAGGTAGTTGCGGAAATCAAACAGCGTCATGTTTACCCAAGCCAAAGGTATTTTGCTGTCCTAATTGTATAAAAATTTGGTTGATTAATTATGCATGCAC